GGCAGACCGCCGCGGCCCAAGGCAGGCGCGCCATTTCCCAGGGCCTTGCCAGACGAGAAACAGGGCCCTTAGGTTGACGGGCATCGCAGTACTCGCCGACCAAGGGTTCCTAGGCGAGCTCCTTCCTGCCTGGCGGCGCTTCATAGCCTTTGTTGTGGAGAACAGTGGGAAGGAGTGGGGCGTCAAGCTCTGGACAGCGACGGCAGAGACCAACGAGGACGGGAATCACCACATCCACTACATGATGCAATTCTGGAGGTCCGCCGACAGGACCTCGGGCGCCCACGCTTTCGAGGGGGTGCTGCCGAACGCCCCCGCGAACGATCTCTTGGGGGAGGGGTTCGGGGGGAGGTGGTTTCAGGCGTCAGTAGACAGGGTCCAGTTCTACGCCTGGGCCAACAAGATAGGAACGGTCGTCGACAAAGGCGGCACTCTGTGCGGAGCTGGCAACTGCGAGCATGCCTGGGCGAGAGAAGTCGGCAGTGACTTGCAGGGGGTGCCAAGACCACGCGCATGCGCGTGGCGTCTGCCGGTCTACGACGAGCACCTGCTCCTGAGTGGAGACGAGCTCGCCGCGAACAAGAACCTCGAGCTCCTCGACGCATGGAAGCGCGAGAGAGACCTTGACCGTGAGATCGAGGGGCGCACGAAGAGGACGCGGGCCAACCCCGATCTCTGCACGCCTTTCGGTAAGGGTTCTGGAAACAGACGGGTGGTTGGCGCAGTTTGCCAAGGGCGCAACGCGGTACCCGGTCCTTCTAGTGCGTGCCCCGTCCCGCGCGGGCAAGTCGGAGTGGGCGGCCCCCTTGTTCAAGAAACCCCTGTGCGTCGAGGTCGGTGCCCAGAACACGCGGCCAGCGCGCATGAAGAAATTGGACCGTTCACCTAACGACGGCTTGGGGCTGGACGGCTTGCGCGACCTGGGCTCCCTAGAGGCGGAACAGGAGAAACTGCGTTACAAGGGCAAGAGGCCCGTGGAGTTGTTCAACACGCCTGGCGGGGAACTCGCTGTGACCTGGACCTCTTCAGGTTGCCGATGGCACTTGCCATGAGCAACGACACCGAGAACGCGGGCCTCCTGAAAACGAGCGACTTCATCAGGAACCGCGCGAACGTGCGCGTGCTCTCTTTCTCCGGATGGCCCGGCGCATGCCGGCCCGCGGAGTCCCTGCAGGAGAACCTCGATGCCGAGGTGCGAGCGAGAGCCTGCCGCGACTTGCGCCGCATGCTGCAAAACAAAGGGGTCCCTTCAGCAGAGCACCGGAACAGCAGCAAAGTTGCCCTGTGGGACCTGTGGGACCTGCGAGATCTGCGAGACTTGTGGGAGCTCTGGGGCCTGTGGGACCTGTGGGACTTGCGAGACCCGAAGAATCTGCGACAGCTGTGGAGCATGTGGGACCTGTCGGGCTTGCGGGGCCTGTGGGGCCTGTGGGACCCGGGGGGGCCCGCGGGATCGCGCCCGCGAGACCCGTGGGACTCCGCGCAGAGCGAAAGAGAGAGAGAGAGAGAAAGAGAGGGAGTGAGTTGGCGCTCGTTTCGCAACACTTCGCACGCCCCTCTGGCGCGGTCGTCGGCCAACGTTCAGATATGCGGGGTGCGGGGGGGGTCTTCCAGCCATCTCCACTGACTTGCGATTCTCTCGCAAACGGCGGCGCGCTCATCTTAACCCAGGATCTGGAGGCCTTGCAGGGTTGCGCCGTGCCCTGCCTGGGCGGCGGCCCGCCGCGGGCAGACTATCGCGGCGTGACGCCGCGTTCCTGAGTTGCCTGCGATTAATCTAGGTTTGCACTCGCCTGCGGGAGGGTGGCGCGCTTGCGGTCGGCATGCCCGTGGTGCCCGTGGCGGTGCACTCCCGTGGGCTCCATCCTCTGCGAGCTGCCAACGGCGCGGCACCTGCACAAGCACAACTGGGCAGAGCGCGCGCGCGAGGCCAGGCGCGCGCGCGTGGGCGCGCGCGCGCGCGTGAGCGAGTGCAAGTGCGACTGCGCGCGCGAGCGTGTGCGCGTGCGAGCGCGCGCGCACGCGCGGCGGGGAGGGGGGGCCGCGCGGCGGGGCGCGGGCGTTGCCCGCCGGCAGGAACAGGAGCTCCCCCATTGACTCAGTCTGCGACAGGGTCGTCAACCTGGCCATCGCTCGGACGTCCATTCCCTGTGCTTTTTTCGGTTTCGTGCGTGTTTTTTCGCCTGATGATCAAGGATGCTCCTCGATGGTCCTCGCCGAAGGAAACATGCACACGTCCGAGCGATGCCAAGCAACGTGGCAGGTCTCCGTCCGTCTGTGCAGGCCGCGTGAGCCGCAGCAGGGAGACTGGCGGGGCGCCAAAGACTGAGTGCGCGAATTGTGGGCGGCCACGCGCGCTGTGCCTAGAGCAGGAGAAGGCCGTGGTGGCTTTCGTGAAAGAGCACCGCAATGGGCGGTGGTGTTGCTGCAGGTACAGCCACATTGAAGCTGAAGTGAACCAAAACAACGACCGCCAACGTTCTCAACCGCCACGAGTACCGCTGGCGCGCCATGCCGAAGGTCCGCGAGTTCAGTGACGACGAGTTACAGAAGCGGAGGGTTTGGGTCGACAAATATTCCATGAACTTAGCCCGGAACGGCGTCATTCTCACTATGGCCCCGAAGCCGCTGGACAAGCTGCAGCGCCACATGGCGCAAGCGATCCGCCACATGTAGATGAGGAAGGGCGATGACTCCGGCCCCAACTGCCACGTGTACAGCAATTGCGGCGTCCAGCTGGGGACGACGGTGCCGTTGTGGGGCGGATTCACGGGGGATGGGCGTTTTACTTTAGGGCTGTGGACGCCCAGGCCCAAGATGGCGAACGAGGAATGGGCGAAGAAAGTCCCCGCGCTGAAGCGCGCCGCATATGCAGATGGAGGCAGCGCGCGCAAGAAGCGCTGACGAGGTTAAAACAAACCCAAGACGCGCTGACGAGGTTAAAACAAACCCTCCATCCACGTTCCCTCTTCACAGGTCCCTACAATAATTCGTTTTCAATGCGGGATGCGGGAAGTGCCCCATTGAAGGCAACCATCTGGAAGTCCTCGGTCGTGCCAGAATAGCGCTCCTGGGACTTCAGCGCCGCGAATCAACGCGACTGCTGCGCCCTGGCAATCTCAAATCGTGCCAGAACACTGCTCGTAGGACTTCAACACAAGGAGGAAGAGGAGGAGGAGGAGGAGGAGGAGGAGGAGGAAGAGACCAGTGTAAACCCAAGACGCGCTGACGAGGTTAAAACAAACCCTCCATCCACGTTCCCTCTTCAGAGGTCCCTACAATAATTCGCTGTCAATGCGGGAAGTGCCCCATTGAAGACAACCATCTGGAAGTCCTCGGTCGTGCCATAATAGCGCTCCTGGGACTTCAGCGCCGCGAATCAACGCGACTGCTGCGCCCTGGCAATCTCAAGCCGTGCCAGAACACTGTTCGCAGGACTTCAACACATCGAGACGTTGTGACTGTTGCGCCCTGGCAGTCCTAACTCGTGCTAGAACGCCACTCCTGGGACTTCAATAATACGAGTCCTTTGAGCTGTGGCAAGCTTTTAAAACGAGAATGTGCGCGGCGATAGAACAACAATCACATTTTGAACAGGAACCGCCCTCCATCCGTGAAACTGTTGTTAACTTTGAAGACGCATGTGCGCGGCGCCAAAGCGAGAGCGCCTTTTAAGAACGAGTCGCCCTCCATCCGTGAAGATGCTGCAAGCTTTTAGCATGAATGTGCGCGGCGCTAGACGAGATCGACATTTGGAAAGCCACCCGCCCTCCATCCGTAAACATGCCGCAAACTTTGAGGACGAATGTGCGCGGCACTAAGGCGAGAACCACATGTTCAAAACGGCCCGCCCTGCATCCGCGAAACTGTTGCAAATATCAAACTTCAAGATCACAACTGGTGAAGGAGTCTCAAGCGAAACGTATGGTCCGCCCTACTGGCACGACTGGGGGGGCCGATGGGGAGGAGTGACACAGAAGGAACAAAAAGCTGGAGGAGGAGGATGAGAAGAGCGATAAAGAGGAGGGGGAGGAAGAGGAAAAGGAGGAAGAGGCGTAGGAGGAGGAGTAGGAGGGGGTGAGGAGGAGGACAATTATGAGCTGGTGATTACTACCGCTGCGCTGCATTCTTAGAGCATGCAGCAGACAGAAAGTGTTAGGCAAAAAACTCGTTCTTTCTTTTGGTGGAGGCCCGTGCATACCTTTTTCCATCAGTCGGAGTACCGTCAAGCTCTGACTGGACCGCGACAGAGCTGGCCGAGCCTAGCAACGTGGGCGCCACTGGCGCACTCCTTACACAACGCTCGCACGACCAGGGCGAACTCGCTCGAGCCATCGAAGATTATACACCGGTGCTGGAATCTCTCAGAGCCTGCGCGTCCACTGTGAGAACCTGGTCGCCATTTCCAGGAGGATGCCCAGCATCGCTCGTACCACGAGAAGTACACACACGAACCTGGCCACGCTCAAAGCGCTGACTGCCAACAGGCGGGCCCATCCACAACCACTGGTGGAGTGTGGGGGCTCCCTCCCTTCCTCCTGCATCCTCCTCCTCCTCCTCATCAACCTCCTCCTCCTCCTCCTTCTCCTTCTCCTCCTCCTCCTACTCTTCCTCTCCATCCTCCCCTCCTCCTCCACCACCCTCTCCCTCCTCCTCCTCCTCCTCCTCCTCCTCCTCCTCCTCCTCCTCCTCATCATCATCATCATCATCATCATCATCATCATCATCATCATCATCATCATCATCATCATCATCATCATCATCATCATCATCATCATCCTCCTTCTCCTCCTCCTCCTCCTCCTCCTCCTCCTCCTCATCCTCATCCTCATCCTCCTCATCCTCTCCCTCCCCCTCCTGCTCCCCCCCCCCCGACCCAACCACCAGGGACATAGTGGGTGGTGGCCGTGCTGGACTCAAGGTGAGGCGGGAGGGCGACGGTGATGGTGCGGATGCCGGCGCGGGGAGGGCGCGGCGGAGAGGGATTCGGCGCACCCAGCCTTCGCCATGCCCTTCTTCTTCAGCCACTCCATCGCCTCAAGCGAGGGGCCGGGCAAGGTGAGTGGCGTGCTGGGGAGGGGGGTTTGAGATGCGAAGTTGGTGGGATCCGCGGGGAAGGGGAGACAGAGAAAGCGAGGAGGAGAGAGTGGGGCGAGGAAACGAGGAGGATGTGTAATTAGGAATTCCCTGCTCCTCCGCGCCCTCCCCCTTTTCCACCTCGGTCCCTCCCCCCTCCTCTCCTGGATGGGGGAAAGAAGTATACACATAGCGTGTACAAGAAACACAGACAAACATACAACGAAATAACACAAACAGAGAGAGAGAGAGAGAGAGCGAAAGAGAGAGAGAGAGAGAGAATGAAAAGAAAATAGAGAGAGAGAGTGAGAGAGAGAGTGAGAGAGAGAGAGAGAGAGAAAAGAGAGAGAGAGAGAGAGAGAAACAAACAACACAGAAAAAGAAAGAGAGGGAGAGAGAAGGAGCGGAGGGCAGATGGGCTGGGCAACTGCGCAGAAGTGGGGCAGGGAGAAGCGGGTGGCCATGCCAGCGGGGAGGGCAGGCCAGCGGGCCTGGCAGGGGCAGGGCACGGCCGGGGAAAGGGAGGGAAGAGCAGCAGGAGGGGGAGGAGAGGGCACGAGGGGAAACGGGGGGGGGAGGCGCTCGACAACGATGCCACCCAAGAGGGGAGGACAACACCCAATCGACGTTGGGTAAGGCCGTGGCGCCTCCTGGCCGAATCTGCGAGGCGGGGATTTATCCATATCCACCGCCTGAGAACCGACGTCCTGGTGCCCCAGCGGGCGGTGGATATGGATATGTTTAGGCCTCAGGGGGCCCGAATATGTCCATGTCCACCGCCTGCCGAGGTCCCCGAAAACCGATGCTCCAGGCGGTGGTCGAGCATGAACTCCCGCCTCGGAGAATCGCCCATCCGCCACGTCGACCGCCGCTGGCGGCTTGGCGCGCCAGGGCGCCGACCGAAGCACACGTGTATGGGGGCCACATGCGGCCCCCCAATGTGGGCGCCATGCCCAGCGCGCCGCGGTCCCGGGTGCGGAGGCAGACGCGCGGCACCCAAAACGCCCGGGACTGCACCTCGGTGGCGACGTCCGAGCCCTGCGGCAGGAGCTCGACCACAAGAAGCCTTCTCCACGAGAAGCCACAGGAAGCCCAGGGCACCCTGGGAAACCCAACTCTGGAACCCCAGGACGTCCACTGATTTTTGGTGTGGGACCGTCACGCTGTCCATCGCAAAATCATCGAAATCCAGGAAGCCCAGGGCACCCTGGAGACAAGCAGGGTGTTTCCTGGCATGGGTCTCCACTGTAGGTGGCGGCATCTGAGCCCCATCCCCACCATCCATCGACTCTCCTGAATCGATGGGAGGCGGGGGTTAGGGTCCGGATCTCGTAGCGTGTTCGACGAATTGCGAACCCTGCCCGCGCCCCTCATCGGCTTGCCTGAGTCGTTGACCCGCGAGGGTACCGTCGGGGCGTTGACCTAGGGAACCCAAAATAAGGAACAAGGCCCCTTTTCTCCGTAAGTTCAACTTCGACTTTCCATCGAAAATCCATGGATAACCTGGGGCAACATGTGAAACAATGAAGGAACACGGAGCCCCTCCCCAATGAGAAGGGTTCCTTACTCAGAGCCGCGAGGGCAGGGTTCGGATCTCGCCGCCGAGCACCGGAGCAGGCCTGCAGCGGGCGGCCGAGCGAGGCGAGCGCCCCGCGGGGACGGCCGCCGAGGCCTTCTCCATGTCGCCGTCGCTCGCCGCCAGGGCCTTCTTGGTGTCCATGATGCCGGCCCCCGAGCGCGTCCGCAGGGCCTGGCCCCTCCAGGCCAACAGTTGGCGGCGCGCACAAGGGGGTGGAGGGAGGGGGGAGGACTTCTTAGAAGGAGGCTGCTTCTTAGAAGGCGCCGGCCTTACATCTATAGATAAGGCCCGCGCCTTCTAAGAAGCAGGGGTGCTTCTAAGAAGCCCTCCCCCCTCCCCTCACCCCTCCCTCTGCGCGTGGCTGAAACAGGGCGACGAAATCTATGCATATCCGCTGCTCCCTGGCCAGGCCCATCCTGAGCTCAGCAGCGGTGTGCGCGCCACGCCTTCCTGGCTTGGCCAGGAGGGCGTATTACACAACTCCTGGTCCCAGGAAGGGCCCAGCCAGGGGGCAAAAGATGTGTATAGATTTCGCCGCCCGGTCCAACCACGCCCAGCACCGTGTGGGGGGGGGGGCGTGGGGACATCGGAGGGCCAGTCGAGACAGCGGCGAGCCTCTTCGGGAGGACGTAGAGGTGGGGTCAGGGGTATACGTGGGGTTTGAAGAAAGTCGCTCGAAACGGCATCCCGAAGATGGACAAGAAAGCATCCAGCCAGGTGCGGACCCTAACCCCAACACGGGATACCCCTCCTCTAAGAACCCCCGATCTCTGGCGTTCTCGTCCCGTCGTCGCCACGGCCAAATCCGCGTCGAAAAACGGGTCAGGATGGACCCTTGCACACGG